TAAATATATATTTTCCTTCGTCAGAACACTTTCTTTATTGTCTCCTGCTGTCAACATAGCATTCACAGCCTAACACTAATCAGCTAAAAGTCAAGCCAGAGTAGATCAGTTTAGTTTTCTATGACAAAACTAGACTTAATCAAGTGGACAAATCAGATCCAGTACAATTTCTTTTATGACATACTGGAGAATTTCTGTAGATTCAGGAATTCTTCTGCTGAGCAATTGTCTTAAAACAGAAACATCTGTTTTTAAATTCACTTGTTTGCCTCTAAACATATCAGAATTGATCATGAATCAGAACCCACACCAAGAATATTCCCATCAAAAATTGAAAGGTATCAGACCACTTAGGACAACACACTATCATGTCAACACTTGTAATGGCTCATCCATGACCAGTTTGGATTCCCCAGTTATTAACGTGGATTAATGTGGCACAGTTTACTGAATAATGGATTAAAGAAAAACCCCAACACGCAATCACTATGACTCTGACCTGTGGTTCTTCAAATGAAGTGAACTTGAGCAATACTTAGGAAGTAACAATACATCTTATGAGGTCAGAGTATTCTTGCTTAGAGCAGCTAGTCAGCATTTCTGCTTCTCTTTAATCTTTCCTCCTGCAGATCGTTATAGGCTAGGTTGAGTGCAACTCAGACAGACACACAAAGAGCTGATAGTCCATCACTAGTTCCTCAGCAGCAGCTTAGCCACACGGGATTCCATAACATTTAGAACCACCTAGAGATCAATAAAACAAAAATTCCCCAATGCATATCAGAGGAGCTCAAAGCAAGTAACCACTAATTATTCTTAGCATCCCTTACTGCCAGTATTTTACATATGAGTAAACAGCTCAGAGAGCTTGAATGATGGTATATTGGGATTTTCAGCAGCAGGGTATTATACTGAGCCCCAAAATTCATCTGCTTAGTTTTAAACACCCCCCCATTTCCTTATCTAGTGTGAAAAAGTGTAATTTGATGAGGCAACATGTACCAACAATGCCCCTCCGCCATGTACATCTGACAAACTGGACTGTCTCTATGCTAAAGGATAAACAGACACAAATGAGACATTAAGGGCAACATACAAAAGCCAGCAGAGGAGCACTTTAAGTTCCCTGTGGACACAGTTTTGATCTTGCAAGTTTCCATTCTTGGGAGGTGAGAGGGGAAATCACCTTCAAAAACAGACTGCAGCCAGAAATTGCTATGTTGGAATTCATATGGAAAATTGACACCCTGAACCAAGGTCTAAATAGACATATTGGATTGGTTCTTGTATTACAATAGGTGATTTCCCATTCAAGTACTCTCACCTTCTCACAATTGCTGGAGATGAGCCACATCCACTCTGATTTAATTAGCACTGATGTCACATTCATCTATGTATCCTCCCTGTGCTTCAGCATTTGAGGAAGTGAGTTGTAGCTCACGAAAGCTTATGCCCTAATATCCTAATAAATGTGTTAGTCTTTTAAGTGCCACAAGACTCCTTGTTGTTTATATTAACATGTCCTGGGGGATGAACTCTAATATTACAATTCACAGTAGGTAACTGGACTTCTGATTCTTATGCCACAGCTCTGTCTATATATACACAACCCTCTTGCAAAGACCTGAGGCTTGAGGGCAAGTAGCTGTTTGAAGACAAAAATATCTGGCCTTGATGGACCTTGCATTTGCTATTTCTTTTGGAAACGAAAAGCCTGGGGTGAAAGATACCTGGATATATCGCCAATTAACAGTGAGCAGCCCTCGATTCAAATAGGTTCTGGCAGTGAAACATGCTTGAGAGATTATAACTCCTGAGTAAACAAGGGGTAGGATTCTAGACCTATGGAAGTTAAATGTTGATTAGTCAGCTAATCGAGTAGTAGATGGAATTTCCATCGATTACTCAATTAGTTGATGAGGGGCCACTCACTATCCTGCTGCGCCTCTTCCTTTGAAATGCAAAAGAACGAGATGCAATGGGTTCCCACTGTCTCTCTCCCCCTAAAGGGAGAGAGAGGCAGTGGGAACCCACACCAGCAGGAACTGAAACAGTCCCAGCTGGAGTAGGTTCCCCTCTGTGTGTCTTCCTTTGAAATGTACAAGAGCCACAGGCAGCTCTTGTACATTTCAAAGGGAGAGGTGCAGCAGTTGGACTGGCACCAGTGGGACTGTTTCAATGCCAGCTGTGCTGTTTTTCCGCTTTCTGCCTCGCCTGCCCTCCGCAGAGATGGTGGTGTGGGAAACTGGCTTTTAAGCTGGCTTCCCCCAGCACCAGCTTGTGCTCCCACCCTTGCTGCTCTGATAGAGGCAGTAAGGGAGGAGGGGAGGGAGTAACTAGTCGAGTTCCTACTCAACTACCCAATAAACACTTGCTTATTGTAAATCGACTAGTCGCTTACATCCCTACTCAGAACTGAAAGCACAAGGTCAGCTTGCAGTCAGGCAAGCAAGGCCATTTTCATGATGTTATGCCTAGAGTATTGGAGGGCTTTGAGAGATGAGCCCTGAAAGGCAGCATACAAAACAAAGAGTCTGTTAAAACAGCAGCAGATTTCAGACCATATACATGTTTTAGTTGATTATGACAAACACCACAGAATTTCTGGATTTGAACTGGTTACAATTGAAAATTAATTTGAACAGCTTCATTGTCACTGATTGCATACACCAAAAAGCAATTGCAGCTTTGGTTCAAGCTGGCAGTCTCTTTGCTTAACTGAAATCAAAATCTAATTAGCAAATCACGACTGAGGTGCAGAACAGAAATCATTCCTTCCAAGAATCAAGCCAATGTAAACTGGCTGGATGTGCTAACTGATCCAGAGAATATACTTTTTAGGCAACTACAGGTATAAGCTGTAGATAAGGTAGCAGCTGCACTCGTGTGGTTTTTTGTTTATTATTCAGTGCACTGACTGTGGAGGGAAACACATATGGTATTGCTTATGCATACGACCTCCAATTCCAATAGGTGGGAAGCCACATGTATAGCTGGTACTAGAAATGAGGGTTAGGCTTTTGGGGCATGTCTACACTAGGAAATTATTTCAAAATAACTAAATTCGACTTAACTCCTGATTTTACAAAATCGAAATAGTTCCCTCTCACTATGGAGAAGCCTCAAAATTTGTTTGAGGGACGCTCCATTAACGTGGTCGTGCTGCCTCGACTTAGAACCCCAGGAATCACTGCATGTCCTTCTCTACATATGAAGGGCCTTCACATCTCCACCGATAAGTTCTCTCTGATATCTGAGCTGGCTATTCTCAAGTGTGGACAAGACCCAAGTGAGAATGAATGAAGAGGTTATAACTATAATGTGTGTGCGCTCCATGCTGTCTTACTCTGTTCAGACATGCATTACGTGAGTACTATAGTGTGATACATTGTGTGTGTGGTTCCGATCGTTACAAATTGCACAACTTCACTAGTGTTGAGAGATGTCAAATTGTAAAGACTAGCATAGTAAGAGTTATACCTGTAATATTTAAGGAGTTAATTTATATTTTAGACTAGGAAAACCACTTTAAATGAATAAAGATATAACAAGAGGGAAGTCTTTGTTTCACTGAAATACAGATGTAAGACTTTAGAGCCTACAAGCCCACTCAATCCTATATCTTGTTTTGCCAATCACGAAGAAACAAGTTTCTTTACATTTATGGGAGATAATCCTGCCCACTTCTTATTTACAATGTCATCAGAAAGTGAGAAGAATTCACACGCCATTGCTGTAGCCAACAGTAAGGTATTTAAGTGCCAGATATGCTTAACACTCATGCTTCACTGTGGAAATACCCCTTGAGCAATGGAAATTAAAATGTCCTAAGCCCTGTCCTCACCAGTGCTATGCTGGCAGGAGATGCTCTCCTGCCAACAAAGCTTCCATTTCTCATAGAAGGGGAGTAATCATGCTTAAGAGCTTTGCATGGATGCTAAACTGATATCTGCATCTGCAAAAATGATTCACAGATACCCACGGATATAAAGTGGATATCCATGGATTTGTAGGGCTCTAATTATGCCGACCACTGAGTGTTCTCTCTCATTGCATAGCAGAGGGTTGGGGAACCCCAGGCCCGGGGGCCACATGTGACCCTCCATTTGCCTGCATCCATCCCCCAAGGCTCAGAGCTCCTCCACCATTGGGGAGCCCATGCTGGTGCTTTAGTCCCTCTGAAGGCTGGAGCACACAAAATCTACTAGGCTGCCCCTCCCCCCCGCCCAAGGCTCTGGTGTGCAAGGGGAACGTGGGGAAGGTCTTTCTCCTTTTCATTTGGGGGTCATGGTAAGGGTTTCTTCCCTGGCTTCTCACTTGTGTGGCCACGGACCCAAAAAAGTTTCCCCATCCCTGGCATAGTGCATCTTCCCCAAATGTAGCACCAATTCACTGTACACTGTAGTGTAGATTGCCCTTAGAAATCTTACATTGCTACATCTTTGTTTTGTAAAATCTGAAGTGAAAGCATTCTTCAAGAACATGTTCTGTGTTGTCATCGGAGACTGACAGAACACAAAATGTTTTGGTCTCCAAAGGTGCCTCGTTTTTCAAATACAGACGAACAAGGCTACCCCTCATACAAAATATATGACAGAACGCAGTTAAAAAACCCCACAGAGCAAGAACCCTACAATTGAGATCCAAGAAATTGAGTCACACATTAAATGAACACAATTTTTTTTAACACGGGCCATCAGAATGGAAGCATACCATCTAGAATCGTCGTCAAAACATGAAGAGGCACATTTATGTTTAACATATCTGGCACTGAAATACCTTTGTGTTCTTTTTGTAACTGAAATCGCTGTATTTGAAAATGTAGAAAAAAATCCAAAATATTTATATTCAATTGGTATTCTATTATTATTTAACAATGTGATTAAAATGGTGATTGATCAAATTTGTTTTGAGAATCGCTTGAGTTAACTGATTAAATGACAGCTCTAGGTACAATGCACAAAAGAAGAGGTTACTCACCTTCGGTGCAGTAACGATGGTTCTTCGAGGTGTGTCCCCGTGGGTGCTCCACGTCTGGTGTCGGGCTGGTCCCGGCGCCACGAATCGGAGCTTGCCCTAGCTGTAGCCGACCGGGTCGCGCATGCGCGAGCAGCGTTCGCGCCTTTGAACAGCCGCGCGCGACCCGGTCTCCGCCAGTTCCTCTCACCGCCATCTGAAAAAGATAATAAAGAAGATTCCGTAGCGGGGAGGAGGGCGGGTCGTGGAGCACCCACGGGGACACACCTCGAAGAACCATCGTTACTGCACCGAAGGTGAGTAACCTCTTCTTCTTCTTCGGGTAGTCCCCGTGGGTGCTCCACGTCTGGTGACTCCGGAGCAGTAATCCACTAAACGTGGGCTACGGAATCACTAGCATCGCGGCTTGGCAACACTGCTGAGGCTAGGGCCGAATCAGAAGCCAGGCGCTGTACTATTGCATAATGTCTTGCGAACGTCGTGTTGGAAGACCATGTAGCAGCACGACATATGTCGCGTAAAGGTACCCCTCTGACGAAGGCCGTTGACGTAGCCATCGCCCGTGTCGAATGGGCTCTAGGGTGCGATAGAAGCGGTTTCTTAGCCAAGTTGTAGCAGGTAGTGATACACGACACGATAATCTTCGAGATACGTTGGGCAGATAGGGCTTGACCTTTAGAGTGCCCCATGGTGGAGACCATCAGACGGTCCGTTTTTCTAAAAGCACGAGTTCTATCTATATAGAAGGCTAGAGCCCTGCGGACGTCCAGAGTGTGCAAGAGGGCGTTCTGTCTCGACGTGTGAGGTTTCGGATAGAAGCTTGTCAGAACGATCGGCTCATTGATGTGGAACTCAGTACAGACCTTCGGTAGGAAGGCTGGGTGCGATCTCAATGTTACCGCCTCCTTAGAAAAAACCGTATATGGGGGCGATGCCATCAGTGCTGCGAGCTCACTCACCCTTCGTGCCGACGTTATAGCAAGGAGAAAAAGCACTTTCATTGTAAGATGGTGCAGCAGAGCGGTTGCTAGAGGCTCAAACGGGGTTTTTGTTAGAACATCGAGGACCAAGTCAAGACTCCACTCAGGAGGCGGGGGCCTAACCGGTGGATTGAGGTTAACTAGGCCTTTAAAGAATCTCGCCACCATAGGATGGGAAAAAACTGATTTCCCCTCGATGGGCATGTGGAAGGCCGCAATCGCCGCTGCATGAACTCGAAGTGATGATATAGATAAACCATCCGTCTGCAGCTGGAGAATATAGTCCAATATGATATTCAGTGGTGAAAGAAAGGGGTCGAGATCTTTAGGAGCGCACCAACGAGTGAATCTCGACCATTTTGAAAGATAGGTCTTTCTAGTCGATTCTTTCCTGCTATACAGCAAGATGCGCTTTACTTGGTCCGAACAACGCATCTCTGATGAGCTGAACCATCTATCATCCATGCTGTTAGGTGAAGGGTGTCCAGCCTCGGATGGAGAAGGGAGCCGTTCTGTTGCGACAGCAGGTCCGGTAGGTGAGGGAATCGGTAAGGTATCCGAGTCGAGAGCTGCAGGAGGGTCGAGTACCATGGTTGTCTGGGCCAAGCCGGGGCTATGAGCAGCATTCGTGCGCTGTCCGTTATGGCCTTCTCTAGCACCCTGGGAATGAGCACAACAGGAGGGAATGCATATAACCGTGACGTTCCCCAGTGAAGGAGAAACGCATCTCCCAGAGAGTGTATGCCCAGACCCGCTCTGGAGCAGTAAGCTCTGCATTTCGCGTTGGTCCTTGTAGCAAAGAGGTCTATGTCCGGATGACCCCAGCTGTGAAAAAGGGGCATGAGGACATCCATACGAATTTCCCACTCGTGGTCCTGATAAAAATGTCTGCTTAGTGCATCTGCGATAGTGTTTTGTGCACCGGGTAAGTATGCAGCGACGAGAGAAATGTCGTTCCGAATGCACCATTTCCACAGTCGAACTGCCTCTGCACAAAGGGATCTGGAGCGAGCACCGCCTTGTCTGTTCACATAGTACATCGCTACGATGTTGTCTGTGAGAATCCTTGTGGTTGTGCCTTTTATGTGCTGTTTGAACCGCCTGCATGCATGAAATATTGCCCGCAGCTCGAGGAGGTTGATGTGCAACAACATCTCGGCTGGGGACCAGCGACCTTGCGCCTTTTGGGTACCCATGTGGGCGCCCCAACCCAGGAGAGACGCGTCTGTGGTCATCTCTCTTGCTGGTTGCGTAGCGTGAAATGGAACCCCTACTAGCATGTTGCTGGGGTCGGTCCACCAGTGGAGTGACTGCTTGACCTGCACGGGTATCACCACGGTTTTGCGAACGCTGTGCCTGGCAGGATTGTACACAGTGGCCAGCCAGTGTTGCAGGCACCTTAAATTTAGTCTTGCGTGCCGCACGATGATTGTGGTAGCCC